TCAGAGGGCTGCATGATTCCTATGGTTGGGGGCTCATGAGACATTTAGTCTTGATCAGATTTGGTTCATGAGCCGGGAAGGATTCCTGAGGTAGAAATATGGAAATAAAACTATGGGAGCAGGCCGGGTATGGTGGCTCATGCCTGTAATCCCAGCACTTTGGGAGGCTGAGGTGGGCGGATCACGAGGTCAAGCAATCAAGACCATCCTGGCCAACATGGTGAAACCCCATCTCTACTAAAAATACAAAAATTAGCCGGGCATGGTGGCACATGCCTGTGGTCCCAGCTACTCAGGAGGCTGAGGCAGGAGAACCGCTTGAACCTAGGAGGCGGAGGTTGCAGCGAGCTGAGATTGTGCCACTGTACTCCAGCCTGAAGACAGAGCAAGGCTCTGCCTCAAAAACAACAACAACAACAAAAAAACAAAAAAACCCCACAAAACTATGGGGAGCAAAAGAAGACAAGAAGAGGGAAAATGGAACAGAGGCTAATTATTCTGACCTTCTCCAAACCTTAGATTCATATATTACTCAGAATTCAAGCTTCTCTGGAAACCATTACAAGAAAATCACAGCTTTAGCTAACTCTTCCATTTATCACAAAACAACGTTCTTTGGATAGCCAAACTTACTTAGAAACTGCCAAAATTCAGGTCTGCTAATGGAAAAAAACAAAAATTAAATTGCCTAGCTAAAGATTTAGTCACTCTTTTTGGCAAGGCACTTTTACATTTTTATGGTGTTTCAGCTTTTCCCTATAGAGCATTTTCTTCGTGGAAGCTCTCTCTCTTAAGAATGTATTCTCTTCTCCATGAGTTTTTAACATGGTCTACAAGTTGTCTTCTCTTATTAATATCCTGTCTAACCTTTATCTTTAATTTACAGATGATATACTCTCTGCATGGAAAATACTCCTTTGAGTAGTGCTATGAATTTTGTCTCCCCAAAGTTCATATGTTGGATCCCTAATCCTGAATGCAATGGAATTTGGAGACGGGGCCTTTGGTAGGTTTAGACGAGGTCTTGAAGGTGGAGCCTTCTATAGGATTAAGATGAGGAAGAGAGGGAGATCACCCTCTTTCTCCATGCCCACCCACTGAGGAAAGGCCATGTGAGGACACAGGAGAAAGGTGCCAATCCAAAAGTCAGGAAGAAAGATCTCACCAGACCTTGACCATGCTGGCATCCTGATCTCAGACTTCCAGCTTCCAGAACTATGAGAAAATGAATCTGTATTGTGTAAGCGACCTAGTCTGCAATACTTTATTATGGCAACCTGAGCTAAGACAAGGACTTCTGGAAATGTGATTTTATTAAACATTTCTGAAGATCAATATTATAACATGTAATAAGGCCTCTCAGAAAAGTTTTGTGATTCTCCCACATTTTTTTCCCACCTACCGAATGCTTCAAACCATCCTTCTAAGGATGGTACAGTGTCTTGACTCTTTTGAGCTGTACTCATGTAATAATCTGAAAGAAAGGTTGCTAAGCGATAGCTTACCCAAAACCTGATCTAGCTGCTGTTTGTAACTTGCGTTCTCCGGAATCTTTCTTGTCCCTCCCCTTGACTGCAGGCTTGACGGGGGAAGAAATTACTTTTCTGGTCTTAGTAAAATATGTTGCTCTCCTCCCAGCCCTGACTATCATTACAATTCTCCATTTTGTATCCATTCTCTTTCTACTCATCATTTACTTCTTAATTACATCTTTATCCCAGGTACTTTTCCTTTAAAATAATGTTGAAAAATAAAGAATTAAATATAATCTGGTGATGCCTCAGGCCTTATCCTGGCAACCAGTCAATCACCATGCCAGGTTTACCATTATAGTTTAACAAAGTATTTGGAAGAAGAAAGTGAATGTTTTATCTGTTTTTGTTTTGAAAAGTCTTAGTAAATACCTTAATCTCATAATTTCCTGCTTAATACCGTAATCAAAGAGTTTCATTTCCATCTTTCTCCCACTTTAAGTTTTACTGCTTACAAGGAACAAAAATGGCCAGCTTTACATGCCACAAAATCTACATACCATTCTCTCTCTCAAACAAAGCATCTGTAGGACATTTGGAGAAAGCTTTTCTCAAAAAAGAAATTTGATAAATGCAAGTTTCCAATGTACTATAAAAATTGTGACAACAGTGTCACATGAACTTACACTATAATCATAATGAAAAATATTAATGGAATATAAATACCTGAAGTGGCAATGCCAGGAAATGAGGGGTGACACAACAAATAAATTGTATTTGATTTGCAATATAGCAGATGGAAAAGTATAATCTGGCTGCTTGTGTTCAGATATCATGCTACAAGATAAAGAGTTTTGCTTGTGATGCCTGTGGTTTGGCTTTTCCTTCATTAATATAAGCTGTTTTCACATTGCCAATTTTTCTTATAAGTTTTTTTTTTTTTAAATAGTCTTACTCTGTCGCCTAGGATGGAGTACAGTGGGGTTATCTCCACTTATTACAACCTCTGCCTCCTGGGTTCAAGTGGTTCTCCTGCCTCAGCCTCCAGAGAGTGGCTGGGATTAACGGTGCACAATTCTTGTTACCTGGCTAATTTTTGTATTTTTAGTAGGGACGGGTTTCATTAGCCACATTGACCAGGCTGGTTTTGAACTCCTGACCTCAGGTGATCCGCTTGCCTCGGCCTCCCAAAGCAATTTTTCTTATAAATTAATAGAATAACCTGAAAATTTCATTCCCTCCAACCTAGGTTACTTGATATATATATATATATATATATATATTTTTTTTTTTTTTTAGAAAGGGTCATAGTATGTGGCCCAGGCTGGCCTTGGACTCTTGGGATCAAGGGATACTCCTGCCTCAAGCCTCCCAAGTAGCTGGGACTACAGGCATTCACCACTACACCAGGCTTTGCCAATTTTAATCTATAGGAACTTATAGGCCAAATTTTAACTAAAAGTCTTCCCTGCAGTGTAAAAATGTAAACATGTATTCCCATCCATTTCTAATATAATTTAAAAAATACTAGTCAGGTGAAACAGTGGGAGTGGGGAAGGAATAAAGAAATCTGTAATTGGTTGTGATCAATTTGTTGTAAACACCACTGTTCTTGGACCAGCCCATTTTTAATTTAAAATGTGACTGGATCATATATTTATACACTTGACTTTCTCAAACATTTATGAAAACTAAGAAGGGTGGGTGTTCTTTATCAAAACTGAGCTTTTGAGGTAGAGAGAATAAAATGGTTTGTTGGGAGTTGAGGACAATATTTAGAGTTTCCTGTGTTGCAGACATTTCTCCTCTATTGGGTGAGATGTTAACTTTGTTTCTTGCCTAGTAGTGGTTCCTGGGAGAGATCAGAAATTCTGGGATATGTCATCTGCCTAGGCAAGTAATTCACAATTCTGAGCATGCATACATCTTAGCTGCTTTTGAGTTCCCTACAGAATGATGGTGTGGTAAACATGAAACAGAGCTCTTATCACTCCCCTTCCAAGACTGGTGATGCTAGTCACTTCTTAACTTCCCAGTTTGAGGAAGAAAGTGAGAAGAGAGATTAAAAAAAAAGGCACTGTTGTATTACAAACCAAAATCAAACACAGATTTCCATACTAACTACCCCTCCGAAGGTAACCCATTAGCTACACCATCTATCTAGCAAAGTAGGGAGGAAAGTGAGCAAGGAGTGCATTTGTCTCATTAGTCTTTTCATTTGGAGAGGCAGACAGACAGAGAGATAAGTCTCAAATTTCTTGATACCAGTCAAGAATATAAATGTGTTTGATAAAATTAACATTTAAAAAACATGGCACCAGGCAATGATTCTTCTTCCTGCACACCTTAATGCCTAACTTCTGAAAGGACTTGAGACATAAGAATAACAATTAAAAAATATATATACTTCCAGAGTCCTCTACAATGCCTTCGTGGTGGATCAATTTCCATAGAAGTCTACCAAAATCTTATCTCCATCCCAGGGAACCAACTGCAAGAGAGATAATGAGAGGAATGCAATCTTCTAATCTTTCTATGTAGGCAGAGTAGACTTAAGTGCGAGTCAGAAAACACCGATTCCAGTTTGTGCGCTACAACTTGATGACTTGGGTGATGTTTAGCTTCTCAGAACTTTGGGAGGCGAATTTGAAAAAGATAATACCACACTATACAGTTTAGAGGATTACCTCAGCTAACAAACAGCAAATGAGATGCAAATGTGAGCCATAATTCATATTTCTAAGCAGTTGAGCAGTTGGAGCCCTGATACAGCACTGGGGTTACAAAGAAGTGGGGGAAATGTCAACCCAGTGTTGTCATACTCCTAGGCTGGGCTCTAAGATTTTTTGGAACCTGGAGGGCTGTACTGAGCACAACAGGGAAAGCCTCAGCACCCTGATTTGGCACAATGGCACCCTTAAGGCTCTTCGCTCACTCAATTCTTAATAGCTCTCTGAAAACAAGGGGGTGTTTCTTCCAGTTCTATGCGTAGACTTTGCTATGTATGCCTCTCCGCCCACTGCCTCATCCAGAGAAACACTCGTATCCACAATCGCTCCTCGCTTTCCCTCACTTACGACTCCAGCGAGGCGGAGAGAGGGCGTGGCTTAGGCTTTATAGACTTTGCCAGCCAATCACCGCACCGTCTCCTTTCCGGTCAGCGATCCGACCAATCCGAGAAGGCTGGTGCAATCTTCGGCTCTACTCGGCTCTTTTCGCTGATGCGGGTAGCTAGGGGGCCGCCGCCGCTAGAGAGACGCTTTCCTTTTTAATTTTTTTTCTCTGTGTTCACTTCCGGGTCCGGCGTCGATCCGGATGCCCGAGGCAGAAGGATGTTTGACCTCCGGATAAACGAGGCTCCACTGTGCATTCATTCCCGGCTGCATCGGTGGCGACAGCAGCGGCTCGGGCGGCGACTCTCCGGCCAGCGGCGGCGGTAGGAGGCACCGGTGGCAGTGTAGGGACCGAATCCGAGCAGCGCTGCGACCTCCCTCTCTCGCTCCTTCCCCCCAACCTCGCTTGCTCTCTCCTTGCGTGGTTCTCTTTCCTCCTCCGGCCGCCGACGGGTGTGATGTGCCACCGCCGCTGCCCCCGCCAGCGCTGACTGACTGACTGGGGGCGCCGCCCGCGCCCAGGACCGACCCCGCTGCTCACCGCCGCGCCTCTGAGGTAAAGCCCCCTGCGCGTCAGTGCTCGGCCGCCAGCCCCGGCCCCGCGGCAGCCTAGGCGCTGCCGCGGCACCCTTCCTCCCGGGTGGGGCTGGGGTCCCGGGCGGGGTGGGGTGGTGTGGGGTGCGGCGAGGGCGGCGCAGCAGGCGCGGGTGTCGGGGGAGGGGTAGGCGAGGAGCCGGGTGGGCGAGGACCCGGGTGGGCGGCTCGGAGGCGTGGGCCGGAGGGGGCCGCGGTTGGAGGCTGAGGGCGCGGAGGGCTAGGGGCAGCGGGGGCCCGCGGGTGGCGGGCCGGGCTGGGTGCAAAAGTTGCCGGAGTGGTGTGGCGCGAGTGCGGCGGTGAGGGAGGTGGGCCAGCTGGGCCGGCGGGGGCTTCCTCAGGACGGATTGGGAGGTGGGAATGGTCGCCCACGGAGCTCTTTGACTGTATCGAGACAATTACCTTCGGGGTAGGGGGTTCGGGGAAGAAGGAGGCATGGGAGGAGGCGACGGGGCCAGCCTTCAGTTCAGGGATAAACTTCCCGTTGGAGTGTTTGTTTTAAAGGATTGGGTGGTGGGGGGACTCAGGTGTTTACCTGTTTCTTAGAGCTTTGACTCAGCTCAAAACTTAACCAAGACATTAGTCAAAGGTAACAAAATTACTCTGATGGTTATTCTCATGGTGCCGGTTTGTTTGTTTATCCCACATGCAGGGGAAGTGACACTGAGAAGCGTCAGGTCTCTTGGTCCACAGCCTCCACATTTCTTTTCAGCAGGATGAGGAGGGAGATGTGTGTCTGCCCGTGGGGTGGGGGTAGTTAGGCCTGTGTCATGGTCATTCCCCTTCTCCCACCTCATGTTTTAGGGAGGGAAGGTTCAAGTGGGGGAGAGAGAGTGCCTGTGTGTGAGAGAGAGCTACTGTTGATATACTGTGTGAATTAGTTTTCAGTCTTTTGTGTAAAGTATCCAGGCAGGTCAGTGGGCCCTTTTAAACCTTCTGTTAGAACATCTACTTTAAGTTAGAGAATTAAAAACGTACTTATTGTTAATGATTTAATAAAATAAGTCGTTATTTATTTTACTTTTTGCAATTACTTCTTCTGATTCAAATGACATTTGCCGACAGTTATAAAAGATGGTGAACTACATCTAAGATGGGATATAACATTAAAACTATATACTTTTAAAAGGTCTGTGTGTTTCTTTGAAGAATATTGGCTTTCCTCATAAATTTGAAAGAAAAATATTACAGAAATTGTGAGAATAATGTGGAATTAGAAAGATGTGAAACTAGTTTAAGAAAACATTTTTCACCAAAAAAATCAGATCTGGTTTGTGACATTCTTAATAACTTTCTTTTTTGCTTTTTCTTTTTCTTTTGAGTTGTACTTAGTGTATTTTATAATTATTTACAAACTTTGCTCCAGTTATATCTTAAGATAAATTATCTTCTTATTTTGTATACGTTCACCTTTATATTTGCACAAAAGATAAAAATTACATTTATGGACATTGGATGAAAGATGTTATCACATACATTGTATGACTTTGACATACATTCTTAGCAGAATGTGCAGACACTTCTGCTTTGTGTGACCTTGCATTTCTGAATATGCATTAGATAGAAGTAGTTATTAGAATGGGGGTCAGAAAGGTTAATTTTAATATTGATATGAATGACTTTTTTTTGGGGATCTTGAGAAACGATTATCTTTACTGATGATTTATTGTAGTCATCCATCCCCTTCTGCCATTCATCAGCTTAAACATTAATGCGTTATGTAATTATTGACATTTTCACCATTAGATTTGCAAGCATTTACAATATATTAACAAAATCTTCAATACATGAAAGACATTTATTACTTCCTTGAAAATAAAGGACTGGGTTTTGTGGAAACAAGGAATAGTTTAATTCAACTAGGCCCTTTGCTCTGTGTAAGGATGGAACAGTGAGTACAATATGAAGATGAATGAGACTCAGTACTACCTTCAAGGGAGAAGCAGACATACACAGAAGTAATTCAGAGATTCCCGTGTGTTTTATTGGAGGTGCATTGGAAGCATGGGGTGTGTATGTGAGTTACTAAGTTTTGACTGGGAAATTTTGAATGAATGTAGAGCTGGTAACACTCCATCTGGGCCCTAACATATTTTAATTGGCAAAATGGGGGCTGAGGGGGTGGTGGGGGGAGTAGTTTTCCCGGTAAAGGGAACAGCCTGAGCAAAGGCCTATGATTGTGTTATAGGGCTTGTTGAACTGGAGATAAGGCTGTTGTGCCAGGAGGTCTTTGTGGGAGAAGCTATGAAAGTAGGTGGAGATCAGGCCATGAAAGTCCAGAATGCCGTGTATTTAAAGATGAGTCGGCCGGGCGCGGTGGCTCACGCCTGTAATCCCAGTACTTTGGGAGGCCGAGGCGGGTGGATCACGAGGTCAAGAGATCGAGACCATCCTGGTCGAAATGGTGAAACCTCGTCTCTACTAAAGATACAAAAAATTAGCTGGGCATGGTGGTGCGTGCCTGTAATCCAAACGTACAGACCCCATGCTGTACAGTAGGTAGGCAAATAAGGATAGTAAGTTTAAGGAAACAAATTATAACAAAATAGTTAATTTGCTATCATTGGCACTACTGAAGGAAAGCAGGAAAGTATATAATCCAAAACAATCTATACATGGTTTTGTTATATTTCTTTATTTGCATTTGAATGTAAATGTAATGGGTGTGTCTAGTAATCTAGTAATTGATTTTGCTTGAAATCAATCCAGACTCTAAAAATGTGACTCGGGAAGAAATGAGAAGCTCTCCCTTTATCTCTCTGTGTCTCCTGTGATCCATCCTGTAATTCACTCCATGCTCGGAGTAGACTTATTCTGATATAGTTTATTGGTTCAGATATTTTTTGGAATTGGACAAGCAGTAGTTTTGTTCCAAAGGGCTTCCCAAAAGGATGTATCAAACTAAATAGAAGGAATGCTGAAGTATTAAATAACAAAACAAAATATAGGTCATTGAGTAGTTGTATTATTAATAGTGAGATTTGCTATGGTGAAATGAAATTTAAAGAATGTATATTTTCACAGAAAGTGGTTTTAATGAAGTAATAATGAAAGAATCTGTACATGGAGAAAATTGGCAATAACAGAGGGCTGATAAGATGAGACACTTCACAGTTTCAGATAAATGTATGTGAGGTTTTTAAATCATCTTAAATATTAGACGACCCTAAAACAATGTAATCCCACACTTAATCGTTGTCAAAGGAGTGCTTGAAATTAAGTATCAGTTTATAAGTGCGTGTAAAATCATGTTATAGGGAAAATTGTTTGAAGTTTTCTTTTCTTCTAATTATTCCCTTCTCAGCTTCTCTAATTATTCCCCTCTTAGTATTCAAAAAGGACTTCTTTGTTCTTTTTTTTTTGAGATGGAGTTTCGCTCTTGTTACCCAGGCTGGAGTGCAATGGCATGATCTCGGCTCACTGCAACCTCCGCCTCCTGGGTTCAAGCAATTCTCCTGCCTCAGCCTCCCGAGTACCTGGGACTACAGGCGCGCGCCACCATGCCCTGCTAATTTTTGTATTTTTAGTAGAGACGGGGTTTCACTATGTTGACCAGGATGGTCTCGATCTCTTGACCTCGTGATCCACTTGCCTCGGCCTCCCAAAGTGCTGGGATTATAGGCGTGAGCCACCGCACCTGGCCCAAAAGGACTTGTAACTGAATTTGTGTTCCCTTCAACCTCCCAGTAACAACAACAATACCTCTTATAATTAAGTGCCTACTCTGTATAGAGGCCATAAATGATACTATTAAGACAACTCTATGAGTTAGGTGGTGTAACCTCCATTTTTGAGAGCAGGAAGCAGTCTTCTAGACTTTAAGTAACCTGTTGAAGATAGATACATCTTGGAAGTAGCAGAGTGCATATTTGAATCGGTTTTTTTTTTTTCTGGCTTCAAAGTCTTAAGCCATCAGTAATCTATTTTTTTCTAATCTTCCATCTTCATCTTTTTTTTTGGTCTTTTCTCAAGCATTTGGCAATTAGTGCTATTAATTCACAGAATGTGTGTGAGTGTTGGTTCTTTATGATGTAATTTCTTCAAAGTGGTGGTTTTGAGATACCTGTCTTTAATCGTGGGATTCTGTAGGTGCAGACAGTATGGTTCTGGTAACAAGGTGCCTCATCTATTAATGTGAAGTGATTTTCAAGGATGTCTGAACTGCTCAGGAAATGTGGAATGAGACATAAATGTAGAAATATGTAACTTTTAGCAACATAGTAGAGGATGCTGTTGACATTTTTTCTTTCTTTTTTTTTAAGCTCTCTCTGAAAGCTGAGATTTAGCAACTATAAATGTTTGAGCTTTCCTTCTATTATGAAACCTAAAGAAAGTGTGTATTGATTTGTTCTTAGACCATAGTGATTGGTTATATTCTCTCCTGCCACACTTCGTGCTTATTATCCTAGTTATAGGAAATAATTCTTAACAATGAATTGAAGTGTTTATGTATTGGAGAGATAAGATGTACTTTTTTGGTTATAGGTATAATTTATTGAAAATTATGGGTAAGTTATGTCCACATGGTTAAATCATGTCCACATTTTTTATAACTTTCAATAGAGTGAGATACAGTCTCATGATACTCTTTTTCTTAAATACAAAGTTTAATGTTTTTTTCTCAAGGGTAGTAATGTGAGGTTGAAACTGTATTCACATTTATTACATTTATTTAGATGACTTTATGTTACCTGGATGTACTTTCTTTAGCTGATAGCTGCATTTGGAAAACAAGGAAAGAGAGTTACCCTGTTACTCTGCCATTATGTTCTTCATCAAAATGGAGGAAATTCATATAAAGTGCCAAGAACTGTGTGATGCTGCCACATAGTAGGCACTGTATAAATCTTCTGTCCTTTATTTCAGAAGTTGCTGATTGAATTTTAGAGGGTTGATTGGTGGAGACAAGCAAAGACTCTTGGGAGCATCCTGTTACAGGAGAATCTCTCTTAACTGACCTCT